GACCTCTTGATGTCGGTATTATTTTCTATTTTGATTTAATTTTATTTAAATCGTCTTCCGGAGGACGATTTTGTGTTCTTAAAATTTAATGTGATACCGACCTCATGACGTTGGTATTTTTATTAAATCTAATTACTTTCAATAAAAGCGACATCCGGAGGTCGGTTTGTTTAAAATATTCCTATTAATACTAATAATTTTGCTATTGTGCATAATACTAAAATTTCATTTTACACCTACAATTAATTGTTCAAAAAGTGTAACAATTTTGTATACTTCTATAAATAAAAAGTTAGAATTCGTGGAATAAATAAAAAAATATCTATAATCCATATTTAGAGTATGAAACTACGTTGATATGAATTAGGAGATAATTATACTTATATTTCTAGAGTAATGTACAAATTCTATCAGTCCGTCGTCTAATCATGAACTTAAAATCTCATGTCATGATGTAGAGGTGAAGAGCTAACATATAATCCATTCGAGTATGAAATGCGAGATAGTATTATTATATACGTTCGATCTAATTGAATGGATGTTAAGTGTAGTGATCACCTCCTAATTATGATGACATGTAAACGATACCTTATCGGAGTATGAAGTATGTTGATTAATTATATACTCCTCGAGTAGTTTAACAAATCAAGTCTTATATACTAGTGGTTTAGATATGAAATACATTATCAATTAAAGAAATACCGAGGATCAATTCAAGGAGATTTATATATTAAATTTGATATTGATAAACTTTTGTTGATCAATAAAATTAAATTTATATACTTAGGAGTTATATAATGTAATTTATAAAATTGACTTGATCGATAAATTAAATTTATTAAATTAAACTTTTGTTGATGTGTAGTTAAATTATATATATATAATTTAACTACACATCAACAGAAGTTTAATTTAATAAATTTACATATATATATGTATATATATGTATATATATATATATATATATATAGATGTATATATATGTTTAATTAATAAAATCAATCTCAAGAGATGAGTTTATATTAAAATAAATTAATAAATACCAACCTAAAGAGGTCGGTATATTTAAATTATTATTTTATTTAAATAATATCGACTTCATGATGCCAGTATTTATTAAATATTTTTAAATATAGATAATTATTTTTAAAAATACCGACATCTCATGGTCGGTAAATTAAACAATTCTCTTAAAAAAAGAGTGATAATATAAGTCTTACTCCTAAAGTCTAACTCTCAAAACCTAAGTCAACTTTCACTCCCCACCCCGACCCACTCCCATCGGCGCCCATCCCCACCCATCCCTGACCTGCGCCACACCACCATCCCCGATTGGCGCCACGCCACCATCCCCGACCGCCGCCACGCCACCTTCGCAGCAACAGAGGAAGGTCGCGGCAGCTGTAGAGGAAGTCACGCCCAGCAGCAGGAGGTCGCACGCCTCCATCCCAACGGTGCTGCCTCCATCCCGACCGGCGCCGCCTCCATCTCGACCAGCGCCTCCATCCCCGACCTTCTTACTGAAGGTGAATTTTTAGAACCTCCATAATAGATTACTTTTGTTTCTATTTAGTTGAAGTATCTCAAAATTAGAGTACTAATATACTTAGTTTTATTGATTGTTAGTTTGATTGATTGTTAGTTAGTAAGTGAATGATTTAGGGTTTTTTATTGTTAGTTTGAATTAGGGATTATTTGATTGTTAGTTTGTGTTTGTTGATTGTGAATTGAAATTTTTAATGTTAGGATTAGTTTGAATTAGGGTATCTTAGGATTTGTTTGAAATTCGGTATTTCTTAAGTTAATTAGTTTGATTTTGGAATTGTAAGATTAGATTGAATTAGGGTATTTAAGGAGTTGTTTGAACTTGGGTATTATTTGAGTTAGTTTGAATTATGATTGAGATTTTTAGGACTAATAGTTTGAGTTTGGGATTAGGAATAGCTAGCTAATTTGAATTAGGATTTTAGTACTAGTTAAATTTTGGGATTTAGGGCTAGTTTGAATTTGTGATTTTAAGATTAGTTTGAATTTTGAATTTAGGACTAGTTTGAATTATTATTGAGATTTTAGAATTACAAATAGTTTGAATTTGGGATTTTAGCACTATAGTTTGATTTTTGAATTCTAGGTGTACTTTCAATTTGTGATTTTAAGACTAGTTTTGAATTTAGAATTTAGGGATTTGAATTATAACTTAATTAGAACTTATAATTAATTATAACTTGAATTTACTATAAATTGAACTTAATTAGAATATGAACTTGAAATTAGAACTTGAACTTGGAACTAATTAGCTTGAATATATAGCTAATTAAGTTTAGAAATTAGATATGAACTTGAATTGAAACTTGAACTTATTAAAACTTGAATATATATATATATATATAAACTAATATTCTTGGATATGAAGTTTATATTTAACTAATTTAAGAACTTTTTGTGCTAGGGAATTGAGGAAGCTCAACATCTAAAAAAGTTGATACAAGACTATTTTGCTTCTTTCATCAAAGTTGGAGATAAGGTTGGTGCTTATAAATTTCTTAAGTTAAAGTACAATTGTTTTCAATAATGTGTTTGTGTCCATCTAGTATTAATTCTTAACTTTAATTTTGTGATAATTTTTGTGTGTCCATCGAGTGTTTGTTAAGCATAAGTACCAACACTAGTTGATCCTATTGATGACAAAATTGATTTTCTTGCAAGATCGATTTGTGTCCATCTAGTGTTGACACTTAGCTTTAAATTTAGAAATAATATATTTGTTAAACATAAGTATCAACACTAGTTGATCCTATTGATGACAAAATTGATTTTCTTGGAAGATCGATTTGTGTCCATCTAGTGTTGCTATTAAGCTTTAATTTAGGAATAATGTGTTTGTTAAGCATAAGTATCAACACTAGTTGATCCTATAGATGACAAAATTGATTTTCTTGGAAGATCGATTTGTGTCCATCTAGTGTTGACACTTAGCTTTAAATTTAGAAATAATATATTTGTTAAGCATAAGTATCAACACTAGTTGATCCTATTGATGACAAAATTGATTTTCTTGCAAGATCGATTTGTGTCCATCTAGTGTTGACACTTAGCTTTAAATTTAGAAATAATATATTTGTTAAGCATAAGTACCAACACTATTTGATCCTATAGATGACAAAATTGATTTTCTTGGAAGATCGATTTGTGTCCATCTAGTGTTGACACTTAGCTTTAAAAAGTTGTTAAGTTGTTAAAGTTAAAAAGTTGTTAAGTTGTTTAGATAAATTAAAATAAATAATGTGATTTAGTTGGTGGATTTAGTTGTTGTATTAAGTCAAAACTAAACTAGTTAAAGTTGTTATGTTGTTTATATAAGTTAAAATAAATAATGTGATTTAGTTGGTGGATTTAGGTATTGTATTAGGTCAAAACTAAACTAGTTAAAGTTGTTCTGTTGTTTAAATAAGTTAAAATAAATAATGTGATTTAGTTGGTGGATTTAGTTATTGTATTAGGTCAAAACTAAACTAGTTAAAGTTGTTATGTTGTTTAAATAAGTTAAAATAAATAATGTGATTTAGTTGGTGGATTTAGTTATTGGAATTAAGTCAAAACTAAACTAGGTAAAGTTAAAAAGTTGTTATGTTGTTTAAATAAGTTAAAATAAATAATGTGGTTTAGTTAGTGAGTTTAGTTGTTGGAATTAAGTCAAAACTAATGTAGTTAAAGTTCAAAAGTTGTTATGTTGTTTAAATAAGTTAAAATAAATAATGTCGGTTTAGTTAGTGAATTTGGTTGTTGGAATTAAGTCAAAACTAATGTAGTTAAAGTTCAAAAGTCGTTATGTTGTTTAAATAAGTTAAAATAAATAATGTCGGTTTAGTTAGTGAATTTAGTTGTTGGAATTAAGTCAAAACTAATGTAGTTAAAGTTCAAAAGTTGTTAAGTTGTTTAAATAAGATAAAATAAATAATGTGGTTTAGTTAGTGAATTTAGTTGTTGGAACTAAGTCAAAACTAAACTAGGTAAAGTTAAAAAGTTGTTATGTTGTTTAAATAAGTTAAAATGAATAATGTCGGTTTAGTTAGTGAATTTAGTTGTTGGAATTAAGTCAAAACTAATGTAGTTAAAGTTCAAAAGTTGTTATGTTGTTTAAATAAGTTAAAATAAATAATGTCGATTTAGTTAGTGAATTTAGTTGTTGGAATTAAGTCAAAACTAATGTAGTTAAACTTAAAAAGTTAAGTTTGTTTAAATAAGTTAAAATAAATATTGTGGTTTAGTTGGTGGATTTAGTTGTTCGAATTAAGTCAAAACTAAACTAGTTAAAGTTGTTAAGTTGTTTAAATAAGTTAAAATAAATATGTCAAAACTAGTTAGACTTAGAAAGTGGTTAAGTTGTTTAAATAAATTCAAATGTTATTTAGTTGATGGAATTAAAATTATCATTATTGTTTGTGTAGATGAATCCTGATCGTAGTTGGATGTATAATAGAAACAATCCTGGTTGAGCGGGTATGATTCCAGAATTTGCAGAAGGTGTCACTAGATTAATAAATCATGCAATGACACTTGATGATTTTTTAAATTCAAGATTGATTAGGTGTCCGTGTGTTAATTGTGAAAATGTGAGATATCATACAACAGAGACTGTTGCTATGCATCTTATGATGAATGGATTCAAACCAGGGTATACAGTTTGGACTAGCCATGGTGAGGTTGAAAGTGACACTATGTTTAATAACTTTGTTATCGGTGAAAGTAGTAGATCTACCGAGCATAATTATTTCCAAGGTTCTAGAATGTCAGATATTATTAATGATGCTTTTGGGATGCATTCTGATTTTGAACAAGGAGAAAATGTAGAAGAAGCTCCTAATGAAGAAGCAAACATCTTTTATGAACAATTGCGTGATTGTAGTAGTCATTTGTTCAACGGGAGTCAACACTCTAAATTGTCTGTTGCAGTTAGATTGTTAAGTATCAAATCTGACAATAATATTTCTCAAGGAGCAATGGACTCTATGATAGAACTTATGAAGGAATTAGTTGATCCCAATGTAGAGATTCCTGATTCTTATTATAAAGCAAATGCATTGGTGTCTAAGTTAGGACTCTCCTCGATAAGAATTGATTGTTGTGAAAAAGGTTGCATGTTATACTATAAGGAGGATGTCAATCTAGAGTCTTGTAAGTTTTGTAGTCACCCTCGCTATAAGATTGGTTCTACCGGAAAGAAACTTGCTATTAAGGCGATGCATTATTTACCTCTTATACCAAGATTGAAAAGGTTGTATGCATCAAATAGTTCTGCTCCTCATATGAGATGGCACCGTGAAAATAGAAGGCCACCTGGTGTCATGTGTCATCCATCTGACGGAGAGGCTTGGAAACATTTTGATAGAACTTATCCAGATTTTGCTGCTGAACCAAGGAATGTTAGGCTGGGTTTGTGTGCGGATGGTTTCACCCCTTTTTCAGTTGGGGCTACACCATATTCTTGTTGGCCTGTGTTTATTACACCGTATAATCTTCCACCTGAGGTGTGTATGACAAGTCCATATATATTTCTGAATTGTGTCATTCCTGGTCCGAGTAATCCAAAAAGCAAGATTGATGTGTACTTACAACCTTTGATTGATGAGTTGAAATTGTTGTGGTCTGAGGGGGTAGAAACGTGGGACATTTCTCGTAAACAAAATTTCAACATGTGTGCTACTTTAATTTGGACTATTAATGATTTTCCTGCCTATGGAATGCTATCTGGATGGATGACAGCTAGAAAGTTAGCATGTCCCTACTGTATGGAAAATACTAAATCATTCACATTAAAACATGGCCGATAGAATTCATGGTTTGATTGTCATCGTCGGTTCTTGCCACCTGATCATGAGTTTAGGAGAAAGAAATATGCATTTAAAAAGAATAAAACTGAAGGAGATGGTCCACCCCCAATATTAACGGGTGATGATATTTGGGAAAGAGTTCAAAATTTTCCAAAGGTAACTGAGGAGCCACCGTACAAATTTGATGGGTATGGTATTGCACATAATTGGACTAAACAGAGTATATTATGGGAGTTACCTTATTGGAAGGATAATTTGCTTAGACTTAATCTTGATGTCATGCATATTGAAAAGAATTATTTTGATAATTTGTTCAACACTGTAATGGATGTAATTGGCAAGACAAAAGATAATGTTAAGGCTAGACTTGACTTACCAGAACATTGTAGACGACCGGAGTTGCGTTTACAGGAGTCTGCCAACAACAAGTTACTTAAGCCCAAGGCTAGTTATTCATTCACAATGGAACAGAAGAGAAAAATTTGTGAGTGGGTGGAAAGCTTGAAAATGCCAGATGGATATGCCTCAAATTTGGGAAAGAGGGTTGACATTGAGCGTGGAATATTACATGGGATGAAAAGTCACGACTGTCATGTTTTTATGGAACAATTACTTCCGATTGCTTTTTGTGGATTGCCTGAAAACATATGGAAACCGATGGCAGAAATAAGTTTGTTCTTCAAAGACTTGTGTTCCAGCACATTGAGAGTAGAGAATCTGGTTCGGATGGCCAAAAGTATAGTTGTTATTAGTAATAAGTTAGAGAAGATTCTTCCACCTGGGTTCTTTGATGTGATGGAACATCTTCCTATTCACCTTGTTCATGAAGCTCTACTGGGAGGTCCAGTTCAATATAGGTGGATGTATCCTTTTGAGCGGTAAGTAACTATAACACATTTATTCTTATTTCATAAATCGTTAATATATTTTTGAAATTATATATCTAATATAAAATTTTTACAGGAGCATTGACAAGTCTAAAAGGGGTATTAAGAATAAACATAGGGTGGAGAGCTGTATGACTCAAGTATATCTAGCTAAAGAAAGATCCCACTTTTGTTCTTACCACTTGGATGATTATGTGAAACGACCCCAAAAATGCCCGAAAATGTGCTTCGGAAACACCTATAATTGTAATTTCCATATATCTCAAAATCCGTGCATGATTTCGGAAATCCGACTTCATATTCTTGTTTAGGGGGTCAAATTGAGTGGGAAATGAGTCTAACCCGAATTTTAGAACAACCGTATCAAAATTCGAAAATCGCAAAAAATGCGATTTTGAGGGTCAACTTTAAAGGGGCATATCTCTCAGCACACAAGGAACTGGAAGGAGCTCAAACTATCAAAATTAAAGCTTTGTGAGTTAGCTTTCCAACGCAATTTGTTTCGCCTCATTCCGAGTTAGGATGAAGGAGTTATAACCATTTTCGTAAAACCTCGCCGGCAGAAAAGTGCCATTTCCAGTAAGCCGAAACACTGTTCACCCGCCCCATTAATTTTTCTAAGTGTTGGACAATTTTTTTTCCAAAAGGGCATATGATATTCCCTATATATCATTAGTTCATTCCAAGTCTCTAAAACATTTCTCAAACATCCAAAAAACTCTCTCTAAACCCTCTCCAAAATTCCACCAAGATCATCAACCAAATTCAAGGATCCCAAGCTTTAATTCCGGATTCAAGATTCAATCTCAAGCAATTCTCCATTCCAATCTTCATCAAGAATTCTCCAAAGTTGAGGTATGTGGGTTGATTGTGGAAACCTTCCTTTCCACAAGTCCAACCATTTATCCTCTATTTTACTTCAAGTTTATGGGTCCTTATGATCATTTATGAACTCTTGAATTATGGAATTATTACTACACATCCTATTATGGTCTATTTTTGTATATTATCATGAAATGGAATGATTATATGATGTTTATGGTTTTCATGCCCCATGATCAAATTATGAAGGTTGTTATATATGTATATATATATGTATGTTGTTGGTGGGCTGTTTTATATGGATTTTGAAATTGGTTGAACTTAGTACTCTTGAAACACATGATTTTATTTACATGAACAAGTAGCCCACCATATGTTTGATAAAATGTCATTTATAGAATTCTTATGAAATGGAAGGTCCAATGTACGTCCTATGAGTCGGATGATTATATAAGTATTGAAATGATGATGAAATGGATACATGTATATGATTTTCTCTATATAGTGTGTGAGTCGACCAAGCCTAGCTCGGGGGGTTGTAGGCCCGGGTAACCGTATCAAGGGGTTGGTACCTTGGTTGCCTAGTACGGGGGGTAGTAGGCCCGTATAACCGTATCGAGGGGTTTGTACCTTGGTTGCCTAGTACGGGGGGTAGTAGGCCCGTATAACCATATCGAGGGGTTGGTACCTTGGTCCCTAGCTCGGGGGGTGGTAGGCCCGGGTAACCACATTGAGGGGTTTGTACCTCTTTCGCCTCTCCAAGGGGGTGGTAGGCCTTGGAAATACTATATTGATGGTCACTCACCACACATGTACTACGTCCCACTAAATATGATTTTTATGTAAGCGTCATTATATACATCATTTCATTTATGTGCTATCTATCGGGTATGATTATGCATTTTTCCTATGATGTCCATCTATTGTAGCATTGCATTGCATCCCACATACTTAGTACATTCAAACGTACTAACGCATACTCTATGCCTACATGATGTCACCATGTAGGGACCGGAGCACCGCTTGACCATCCTCCTCCGCGTGGCTAATACGATTTCCTATCAAGGTTATTGGTGAGTCCTCCATTCCGGGGACGTTGCTCATGATCTTTTGCTATGTATAAGACTTTTCTTTTTAGTTATGTTTTGACTATGAGGGTGAGCCCGGTAGTTTGTCTTGGCCCCCGCTAAGTACTCATGTTTAGAGGTGGTGTTGGACAAGTTGTGTATTATGCTTGAGCTTGACTCATCTATGGTATTTATGTACCATTTCTTCTTTTTTTCTCTTGCTCCCTTAGTCCCGATTTCCCCCTTTGATTATGCTTATTGCTTATGGTCATTTTAATTGCTTCCGCGACCAAGGATGTGTAATGATACGCTATGAGGCTTGTTTGGGGTTCCTTCGGGTTCCCCATTCGCCGGTCACGTCTAGGCCCTAGGCTTGGGTCGTGACAAACTTGGTATCAGAGCACTAGGTTGATAGATCCTCGGAGTCCAACACACCGCGTTGATTAGAGTCCGATTCATGGTTGTGTTGTGCACCACAACTATGAGTAGGAGGCTATGAGACGTTTTAGGAAATGTTTCACTTCTTCATTCTCTAAGTCGTGCCATAGATCTATAAGCTCTCTCTCTTATTCCTTGTCTTATGGTGTTTAAAGTTGGACCAGTTGAAGGGTTCTTGCTAGAAGGAGCGAGTGGTTGTAATGCCAATTATGGCTATGTGACTTGTGAGCTTTGATGGAATAGATTATGAAGTTGTATTTTGTGTGATTAATGCTTCATAATTGTCTTTGTGTTGGTTAGAAGAACTTGTGTAGGCTTACTCCAAAGGGGGAGATAGTGTGCCTACCTAGCAAGGTAATTGTGAGGTTATGTTTAGTTGATGGTAGAACCCATATGGTCAAATTGTTGATTCCCAAAGGAGCCTATCCGAGAGTGGGGATGGGAAAAGAAATTATATGCCCTAGGTCGGGATTATGTTGTGTTTTGAAGTTGACTTTGAGGGTTGCATGTACCATCTAGTTAAGGTGAAGAATAAGAAGTATAAGTGTTGACCAACTTCAAAGGGTTAGTTGTTGTATTTTAAGATTGATCTTAAGTATGGTCACTTAAGTAGGGTGCTTAGATAATACCTAGGCATAGTTGGTTGGTAGACCCCACCAAAAGTGGTGATAAGGGTTGACATGGTCTAGAGTTGTCTTAATCCAACTTTAGTGAAAAAGAGAAAGGTTTCTTGGTCAAAATTCCTCTAAGTTCCTCTAAGGTTTAACCAAGAAAGGATGTCTACCCGTAAGTCTCAAAGAGTGAGTGGTAGTGGATCTTAAGGGTTCCGGTATGTGTTTTATGTTTTATTGAATTGCGGAAATTCCATGGGCCAAAGATAGAGGAAGATCCTCTAGAGTTTATAAAGGAGTTATCTAAGGTGATGAACCTTGTAGGAGTAATCTTAGTAATACTTGTCTTTCGTGACTTGATAAAGAGAATATCGTGATTATTTTTTTTTTGTGTCGTCCTTAATATTCATGGGTTTAGTTATGGCCATATGTGAGTGATTAGTATAACTCAACTTAGTCCTTATGAGTTTTATGATGTGTTGGATTTTGACGAATAGTGATTCTTAAGTGGTACCTAGAGATGTTGAGTGATTAAGCTCCTTTAAAAGAGGGTAGGAGTGAGATCCTCATTGGTTTGAGAATCATGTTGTGTAATGAGATAGTTTAGGCTTACCCCAATGCGGGATAATATGCTTAGATGGTAAGGTTATTGAGTGTCCTTGATGTTTATGAGATAGGTTTGCTTGAATTCTCACCTTATGTGGTTTAGTGAATTGGAGCAATCTAGACCCGAATTGGTAGATTCATATGAGATCTTGAGTGATATCCTAGTGACGGCCTTAGAAAAGGATGCTACTAGGGTTGACTTGGAAGAATTTTTGGGATGAAGGTACCGGTATGTGGTAATTTCATATGAGAGTAAGCGTTATGTTGATTTCCGGTACTACCTTATCTTGTATGATGCCTTATGAGGCTATGAGGCTTAGAGTTCTCCGGATGAGTTAATAGAACCTTTTTCGGATTTTACCCCGGTTAGTGGTTTAAAGTTAGAAAAAAAAAGGAGTTTGTGAAGAATATCTCTTACCTTGTTCCCCTAGGAATACTCTTGTGACTTAGTGAAACTTGGCATGTTAAGCCTTGATGTGACTCTTAGTATGGATGGGTTGCATACTTGGTGTGTTTTTATTGATGATAGGGCTCGGATGGTTAGAAGAATATGGGGCCCTTGAGTGTGTACTAGTTATCACCTTGTTGAGTAGGATGACATTTGGGTACAATTTCTTCCTATTATGGATTTGGTGTTTGATTGTGTCATATAAGGGTGGTATGGCTAGATGTTGAGGACCATAGACTTTTGCAAAAATGGCAAAATGTGAGTTTGGTTATGTCTTTAGGAGTGCTTGGAAAAAGTTTTCTTAAGGGTTGTAGTGAGGGCTTCTCCTAAGGAGGGGATGGTGTGCTTAAAAAGCATGATTTGTTGAAATCCCAACATCCTCATCTCTTTCTTCCATTCCTATCTAGCTTGAGACCAAGAGTTCCTAGATGGGCCTATGTTATGTTTTAGAAGTCATATGTGATTTTTATATTCTGATGATTTCCTTATGAAAGGTATGTTTTTGAGAATTCATGTTTTGAGATAAAAATGAGTTTTCATGTTTTCATGCCCCTCATGTTGATAGGCAATTAGAGTAAGTAACCTATGTGATTCATGAGGTGAATGGTTTAAATGTGCTTTTAAGAAGTAATTGCATAATTGGCCGAAGATCATATGATAAGCATGATTTGAGTTGAAGGAGGAAATTCCTCCAATGAAACGGAATATGTCTAAGTTGCATGCATATTGAGTTCGTAGAAGTAGTCCTATTCTCTCATGTTGTATGATGTGTGTTTTAAATGGAGATTTTTTTTCTCCTAAGTTGTGCATTGTGTGTAATATGGCATACTTGACTTGATGATGTGAATTAAATGAACATGCTTGAATGTGTTCTTATGAAATGGAATGTTAGCTCCTTATGTGGTGGAAACTTTCCTAAAGAGTAGAGGAGGTAGTTCCTCCCATGTTTATGTGAATTAATGAGGTTTGCGCATTTCCATAAAAACTTGTGTTTTTGAAGAAAGATGAGTTGTTTCCCTCATGTTGTAGTGCATTGGTTATAAGTGATCTATTGTACTTCATGAAAATAAGGTATGAGCATGTCTTAGTAAGGAGTTGAGAAGTTCCTCCTTGAAAGAGTGCTATTGAACATGGAAACTTGCATATGT